TCTAGGTATAATTCATCAATTTAGTTTTAGGTGCACATTAATACAAATTTTTATCTTTGAGGGTATAAATTGAGATTTTTTATCTTTGAGGTGCACATTGATATAAATTTCTATCTTTGAAGGTACAAATTGAGTTTTTGATCTTTGGGGGTATAAATTGAGATTTGAACAATCTTTCGAGGTGCAAAATGATATTAACCTTTTTCCAAAACATTTTTTAATGTATACTTTTTTGTCAAATAAGTCTAATTAGGTGAACCAATTTTCAAAAATCCCTTGTCGTTTGTTAAGATTGTCAGATAATGTTTCCTCGTCTTTTGTCCAAGTGTCATGGTGTGGCCATCGGGGAATAGCGCGTTGCCGAGCTTCCAATTCCTGAGCAGGTGTATATTCTGAGCTTGATTATTCCGAGTTGTCATATATTTCGAGCCTGATGATGTCGAGCTGACTCATGCTCCAGGTTGGGGTGTCGTGAGCTACTATGAGACTGGGCCATAACCCATGCCTGGGCCTTGTGACAACTATGTGGGTGAGGTGTTGAGGTCGCCTCATGTATGGGCCCAAAGAGTTTTTTGGTCTTTAAAGTGGGATCAGACTTAAAATCATTATCATTAAAATCAAAAGTAAAATATTATTTGAACATAATTTAGGGATCTAATTCAATATAATTATTAAATTGATTGTGAATTTCATCTAACATTGAAATTTATAACTAATTCAATTATTGCATTGAAGCTATATTATTAAATTCTCATATTAGGTCCTGAAATTAGGACCTTATAGCATTGTTCATAATTATGAACTCGAATTCACTTTGCTCTTTTTACATTGTCCCCTAACTACTTGAATTATTTCAAATTGCACCAAACAAAAACGTTCACTATTTTTTGCCTTGCCCTCAATTAAAGACGTAATATTTATAAATAAAACAAAAAGTTGAGTGGACAATTTAATAAAAAAAAAAGAGAGAAGGGTTTTAATTGAGGGGTTCAAACCGNCCTTGCCCTCAATTAAAGACGTAATATTTATAAATAAAACAAAAAGTTGAGTGGACAATTTAATAAAAAAAAAAGAGAGAAGGGTTTTAATTGAGGGGTTCAAACCGTAACTTTTCCTCAATTTTATATAGTCAATTCCCTTGCACCATGTTCTAGACTTGTATGAGTCTTGGGACCCGAGGAAAAAAAAAAGAAGAAGAAGANAAATTGAGATTTTTTATCTTTGGGGTGCATATTGATACAAATTTCTATCTTTGAGGATACAAATTGAGATTTTTGATCTTTGGGGGTGCACATTGGTACAAATTTCTATCTTTGAGGGTGCAAATTGAGATTTTTGCTCTTTGAGGGTACAAATTGAGATTCGAACTATCTTTCGGGGTGTAAAATGAGATTAACCCTAATACAAAATAAAATTATACCTTACATAAAATTGAACTTTAGAAAAAGTTGCGGGATGAAAAAGAAAAAAAGAAATGAATTAGCAAGAATGTGTTGCTTAATGACCATGTTAGTGGAAACCGAAAGTTGTGATGCTATCTATATTGACTTCTTTTTTAGTCTAACGGTTAAGGGTATTCTGGTCAGATTATGTACATTTCAATTAATTCTTTTTTATGATTTGGTCAAATGTAAATCATCTACATCAAGATAAAAACATTCGCGGTCTGATTCAAAAAAAATTATTAAAATTCAAACATAATATCTCTAAATTTATAATTCGTTCTTATTAACCTTTTCAAACAAAACAATTAGTAGCCTATATGGACCATTGCACCTACCTTCTTTTATGTAATTTAGAAAGAATCCATTATACGCCGTCTCAAGTGCTGATTGACCACTCCCTACTAAAACAATTTGCCTGGACTATATCAGGACTGTCACAACAATCCAGCGGATCCTCTGACGGAATAATCGAAGGACGACAACCAGTTGACGCAAATTAACCCAAACAAACGGGATAAATTCTCATTTAATATATTAATATATATATATATTTTTTTTTTTTTTTTTTAATTTTTATTTGACAAATCAGTTATCACACATTCAAGTGGAACCTATTGTAGACAACTGAGTCCTTCATTTATTGATGGTGAATAATTTGTGAAAAAAATAATTAAAAAGAAAATATATGGGAGATGATAAAGATCAGTTCCACAGACTTGTACTCTGACTTGGTGGTTACATCAATGCATTGGGTTTGAGCCCATCATCCGAACCTCTATCCAATCAAAAAACCTAGCGATTAGGTGTGAAACTCCTCATCAGTGCATGATCTGCCAACCCAGATCAGAATAAACCCACCCATTAATAAATAAAAAATTTCTTTTAAGGCACCGAAAGCAGTAGCCCAAAAGAATTCTAACCCCAAGTAATCGAGTACGGAACACCAATAATAACCACCTATAAAGAAGTGTCCGGCCCACCATGTCCTATTTGCCTTCATTTCCATGGACAGCAATTTTTAATTGAAGTCGTTCACAGATTAACTATCACAAATTGAAAGTGCCGTTTAGCAATCTAAGAAGAAAACCCTCAGCGCAGATGACTTTTATGACTTCTGGGAATTTTACCAATTTCACCCTACAAAGATTAACATGCATATAATATGAAAATCCAACATCTGGGGCAGTGAACTTTAAGATTACACTGCAAGAGCCAAAAAAAAAATATATATATACCCGTTCCAGTTGCAATGTCAACACCGGGGTATTACCGGTATCGTGAATTGCCTAAATGATCCCAATATTGTAGCTGAAGAGTAAAGCTGAATAAGCATTCTTCATAAGCACCTCAGCTCACTGATCTGCATTGATTCCAAAAATACGGACCTTGTGCATGTGTGGAAACTTGGCAACCACTAGGACAAAAACTGCCAGTGTGTTGAAGAAGAGCATCGGATGTTGGTAATCAGTTGTATGTGAGGCTATCAAGTACCTGCCAAAGGAAACGTAAGACCAGAGTGAACAGATTGCTTTAAAAGTGTATTACCCAAATAGCATGCAAAAGTAAACAATCACCAATGAATACCAATTATATAGCACAAAATCTAGATGAAAAGAAAACCATATCCACCCACATAAGATGTAGAATTAACTTTGACTCATTCTGGTCCAGAATGATCCTTATCAAGCTGGTTAAGAAAAAATATAAAGACATGACAGATTGTGGGACTCCGCGACGTGGTGGAATGGAGTTGGAAAAAACAAAACACAAGAGTTCGTACTTGGAAGAGTGGTAGCTATACCATTGGTGCAATTACAAAACCGCCAGGTGAAATCAAGATCAACAAAGATGCAGCAGTTGGTCAGGAAACAGCATGGGTTGCAGCAATATCAAGGAATGCATATGTGGAGGAAATGGCATGCACACTAGCAGAGGCACACCCCACTGATCCTCTGATATCAGAAGCTTTGGCTGTTAGACGTGCAGCCACCTCGGCTCAAGCAAATGAATGGAGTTATGTCACCATTGAAGGAGATAACCAAACAGTGATCCACTCAGTTGTCTTACCACATGCCCAGATCCATTGGTCTATACACCATATTATACATGATCTTAAGATACTGATTGGTAACTGCCCAGATTGGATTGTGTTTCACACCAGGAGGGCTGGCAAATTGTGCCGCCCGTGAACTGGCAAAATGGGGAATGGCAATGAAATACTCAGGAAACCTACCAGCGGACGCAATTCCACAAGCAGTAAGGACCACTGTCCAAGCTGACATTGAAGACCCGGTGAACCATAGGCCAGGAACTTAGTTTGCTTAGCTTTATACACACACACGGTCACACACACACACACACACACACACAGAGCACGTGTCTGTGTTTTGTGGTAAGGAATAGCCTACAACACACAAAAAAAATAAGCAAATAAAGCTCAACTGTAGTAAACTGTCTTTAATCACATTTTAAATTCTATTTTTTCTTGTGGTCTCTGGCAATATGGAGTGAGAGATTCACACATCATCGTTTACGGAAATGCACGAGTAATAGGGAAACCAAATTTAACATGGAGTGACACATAGAAGAATTATACAGTTATAAATTTTACAGAGCCTACCCAAAGTAATCAGACCAACAGTTGGATCACTTCCAACTGCTCATAGTACAATTCATGTAGTGGAATAGAGCACCATCTCTTCATAAGCACTCATGCAGATGGATTAATTACCTGCATGATGCAAGTTTCAATTCATAGCACTGAGAGAATAAGTTTTAGATTAACTCGTATCCTTAAACTAATATCCATCTCAGGCAAGCTTGTGCAACCTCACTCCCTACTGTGATTTAGAAACACCCCATTAAGTGAACCTAAGTATACAGGAATTAAAGTTCAGATCATACCAATGGTGTACTGATTACTCCTCGATAATAAGTAAAGTTAGCTACAGACCAAACATAGTAATATTTACACAAGTGGATTTCCTTAGATTCGAACTCACAACCACACGGTTGTTGGCCTGATACTTTTACCACATTAGAAGGCAATGATCCACTCAAACTTTTCAGACTTCCAGGTAGGTAAATCTATATATATTATAGGGCAAATTTCACTTTATCCCCTTGTGGCTAGACTCATTTGCGCATCATCCCTCTCACCTTCAAAAATAGCCACATAACTCTCACATGATTTGTGGACTAATGCCACAGTTACTAATTCCATCCAAATTAATGGCAAAAGACTAAATGACTTTAATACCTATCGATTTATTTTTTATTAGAAAACAAAATTAACCCATCCAATTATAAAAAATAAAATAAAATAAAATCAGCCCATTCCCCACCCCCATCTACAGAAGCCCTCGCAACCCCATCTCCGGCCACCACACTCAACCCCCAATCACCCACCACCATAACACAGCACCAATACTACACCTTCACCACTAAATAACTCCCAATCAAACACACACAAACAAATACAACTGATAACTCCCAATCAAACACACTCAAACAACTACAACGGATCATCGATCACTGCCCTAAACCACCACAAATTCAAGCAAAGAAATCTCTGAGACCCAAATTAGAAATATTCCGACCAATCGAAGATCTCATGCGAAGAAATCTGCATGCAACAAATCAAACACACACAAAACATCCGCGCACAATATCCGAAGACCTTTGGCAGCCCTCTCCACCTTCACCTAACTCGAAGTTAGTGAAATTCAACTTGATCTTTCTTTAATCTGCGTTCTTTCAATGCTTCATTTACACCACTGCACCTATTTCAAAAAACAGAATCTACAAATCCTCATTGCAATAACTCGTGTCTTCATAAGTCAAACCTGGAATTTATCGGCTCAATTCCTCAATCCCACCCCAAATCTATTGTATAGAGTAACATGAGTAAGTTTATCAGCGCTCTATTCATGACGCTCTGTTTCTTCAGTAATTAGAGAGGGTAGAGGAAGGAGAAGGGAGAAGAAGATAAGTGATGGGTCGGGTTTGGGAATGTAGATCATAAGGGTGTAATGGTCTTTTATTTATGATAATTTTGAAGAGAATTTTTTTTGCATTCCACATCATCAATTCTGTTAAGTTGGGCAGAATTAGTAACAGTTCAATTTAATCCACAAATAACATAAAAGGTTATGTGGCTATTTCTTGAGGGAGGTAATGTGCAAAAGGGTCTAACCACATGGGGGTAAAGTGAAGTTTGCCCTATAGTATATTTGTACCTATATATCCATATATTTATATATTAACAACTGTGTACTAGCCTTATCCTTTAATCTAGAGAGAGAGAGAGAGACTTTGAAAATACAAAAAACATGACAAAAAGTTTAATAGAGACTTTGGAAATGAAAAACATATAATCACTACACAAAAAACTCACTATGCATTTGGATGTGCTTTAGAGCAATGTTATACAGAGTGCTTGAATAAAACAACAAAATTGTGAAGCAATTTCAGGTGAATATAAGCAAGCTAATTATGCATAGCAACAAATATGATGAAACTGTAACATATGCCCGCAAGATAGATCATTCGTTACTCTTTAGGCAACATATGTCATGTCATGCAAAAGTATTATGGGATAACCAGTATGATTGCTTGCATCCTAACAATCTAGGCATTTAACATTCTGAAGTCATCCTACGGCAATTGGATTGATTTTAAGCCACAAATATAACTTTGAGGCATTGGCAATCCAAAACAAAAGAACTTCAACATGTCATGAACCAAGACAGAGAAAAAAAAGAGGTCATATTGTCATCACTACACATTAGCCTTTGCTGCATAGAACAATACATGACCATTCCTCATTTTCTCATCACTCAAACCAAGCATTGTCAGTGACCACTAAATGCCATTCATGTAAGATTACTAAGATTTTCTAAAGCGTAAGGCAAGATAGGTGTCCCACCATTTGACTTGCAACCAATCAGGCTTCAAAACTACTATAGAGAATGTAATCATCAAAATCACTCATTGCACATGAATATTAGACTACTACAAAATGACACAATACATATCAACTTGTGTGTGTGTGCACTCATCAATTTCCTTTGGGGAGGTCGAGATTGGTGGGTCTTTTAAGTGTAAGGATGAAATATGATGAATACAATCCAATTCACATCCATACTTACACATAAATGATAACAATAATAAATCAAAATGCAAATATGCTCAATTAAGAGGCAAAACTAAACTGAAACTACTGATCTAAACGTGCATTTCAAGCGTATGGTAACTTTTCGCCTTTGATTCATTTTCTAAAGGCTAACAGTTCCCATAAAGTGAGTTGTCCAATCTACTGCATCATGTGATAGCACAAAATACCACCCCATAGTTCACATCATAGAGACACACCTCTCAGTCCATGCTGCTATTACTATAGCGACAATGATAATATATAGTATGAATGGAGGACACAATGAAGTGTTAGCATTGCACATTCAACTTAAAGGATAACGTTCCGAAAAAATACTTACAGCACCACAGGTACAACAGTCAGAAACTTCCTGTTGCGAGTGAGCTGCTTGCCATTATCGATTTGTTCCCACCAGGTCAACCTATTATAGACACCCTGGTCATCTGCAAACGGTGTTCCTTTCTTCCAATGAAAGCAGTGATACGTAACCTGCACGATGTGGCAATTATTGACTTAGCAACATACAAGCAGCATGTTCTTGGGCAAAGAAATGCACAGAAAATTTCAGAACAAACTATGAAAATTGTAAGTCTTCAAGTGGAACTTTAAAATAAGCAAACAGACCATCCAAAAGAAGAAAGTAACAAAGTGGGAGAAATCCTCATTTTTGCATAAAATGGAAGCCATCTTCTAGCATTTTCCTTAATTTTGCACAATGATTTCTGCAATTAAAATAGAGCTCAAAGGTTCTTGAAACATTGGCTCATTTCATGTTAGCAGCTCGTCCTTTTTCTATTTTGACCAACTGGTCTAACGCAACGTTTTATTCTCTCTTTTTCTTTCTTTACTCATTGGTGTTATGGTTTGGTCTTTCTATCTACTCGAACTCATTGATTTAACTCTGAAGTACAGCCTATGCACTGATTGGGTTCATTATGTTGGAGAAACCATGTTGGGAGTATGGGGTATCACAGAGAATCTTTTCTTTCGTCCTTCTAGCAAGGGTTTGAAGAGGGGCTTAGTAGCTAGGAAAGTCAAGTCAAGGAGGAAGGTGCTATTAGGCAGGTAGCGGTTGTAGTCCCGGCTTTCTTGTAGCTTTGGGGATTTTTTAAGGAAGTATAGTGTGGAGCGTTCTGTAAATCATAAAGGATAGCAAGCATATCCATATGACAATTGTGCAATTCTTTTGTTATTGCAAAACAAAATTGTTACAAATATATTGGCCCGAGCATATTATAATAGCTCATTGTTCTACCAATGATTACTAATCCAAAATAGTCTCAGCATTGGCATTCGCATCAATTCGCTCTGTCTGATGACAACATAAATGAAATTAATAAGAACACTGCCCATTTAATGAAGAGAAATAACAGTAGTTACCCACAGATTCTTATACAAAGCTTTAGATATTGCCTTTATTTGAATGTTTACACAAAATTTTCAACTCCATTGCTAAATAATAGTTGCCAAATATGAACAAGGCAGAAATAAACTTGTTTCCGTTTACCTAAAATGAGTAGAACGACCACTCCTATTATAGTAAATTGTTCCAAAAGATCACCTCCATTTCCATTACTAAAAGATAAATTAGCCATTTCCGAATACAAACAATAGAAAGAAAGGGCAATTGGCATAGATTCTCAGTGAATTTCATACCCAGTCAAAAGAATAGTTCTCAGCTCATGATTCATCAATAGATCAACTGAAAGACTAAATAAGTACATGTATCAAAACACCTTTCCTATTACCAGATCACCTAAACTCCTAATTGAGATATTTCAACAGATCGTCAACAGAGTTTAACAATGAATCATACGAGACCCATCATAAATCGCAAATCAGCATCAAATACGCTTATAAATCAGATCAAGCAATTACGTAGCAATAAGAATAACACAGTAGTATGAATAATCCCTAATAATGGTTCTAAAATTGTGTGCGTGTGCGTGTCCAAAATCACATAAGAATATAAAGAGAGAAAGATTACGAGGAAATGAGAGAGGTGGACAATGGTCCAAGCCATGCCAGGAGAGCAACCAAAGACGGAGAGCACGACCAGCCAGGAGAAGAACACTATGAGTATGTAGGTCGTCCACACCCCTGGGTACGTGAACCATTCCGTGTTCCTGTTCAGATCCGTCGTTGGCGCCGCCTTCACATACAAATTCGCCATCCCTATCCTATCCTTCGTATCTCTCTGTATATGTGTGTGTGTGTGTATCACAACAATTCAATCATACACCACTCAATTAAAATGCCTCTCTGATCGAAGCTTTCTCGCTCCCTATATATGTATTTGTGTGTGTGTGAGAGAGAGAGAGAGAGGATGTTTCGTAATGCGTGAACTGCTGCTGGCAGAGTTATTGGCTTTGGAGGCCGATGGTGGTAAATTGGTGTGGCCTATATATTACTGAATTTGCAGATGAAACTGAAGGGGAACATGAACGTAACCGATGGGAAAAGGAAGAATATATACAGAGAGAGAGAGAGAGAGAGAGAGAGAGAGAGAGAGA